CTATTGACTTACATTAATTATGCGAGATACAATATCCTGGGAATTAATTATATATTTGTTAGCAACGTAGAATATTTAAGAATGGAAATCAATCTTGAAAATAGATTCTTAATGGCCAAATGAATTCCCGGGACACAAAAATATCATTCATTTATTCCAAGGGAAGGAAAAATGAAAGTCAAATTTTATTCTAATTCATTAGATTATTTAATTTATGATATTATTATATGTTTATTAGAATATTAATTTCCCATTAATTAGCTAATATAAATATTTTTACAATTATTTTCCTTCTAAAATACAATAGCTAAACATATGTGCTAAATATGACACAATGTCTACTAGTGATCTGCATAGGGCATAAATTTTCTAACACGGCTTATAAAAAAATATATCCGGCCCGATCCCAAACGAATTTTCTTTTTATTTGTTTCGTAAATTACTATACATTTGGTATAATATAGGATTTAAGCCATTATATTTAAAGTCTAATAACTTTTGGCCCTGTACTCGTCCCAATCTAGGATTTTGTACAAATATTAAGAAATGTCTATCTGTAAAAAAAAATTTAAAGAAAAAAAAAGAGCAATTTTTATTTTATAGCCATTTCCTGTTTTCTATTTCCGGTTTTTGGTAATATAATTTTTTTTCAATAAAATAAATTTTATATCATAATAAAGAGATATTCTAGAGCTATTTAATAAAATTAAAATCATGTCTTTAGCTTAATTACTTTTTGAGATATTTAAAATTAAATATAGTGTATTTTGGAATTTCCGCCTTTATAAAGATGGCCAATCTCATGAAGTAAACCGATTTGAAAAGTAAAATTTTACATTTTTAGTGTATATACTATAAACATGCAAATTTTTAAAAAAATCATAGGGGGTCGGGTCATATACATTATATCGTTAAAATTAAGCCCACCATGTCTTTTTCTAATGTGATCTATCCATTTATTATCTCTTATATTATGCGATTTTCAATTTTTAATTAGGCATTTTTATTTTTTTTGGTTAATATTTTTAGGCATATTTTAAAATTGGAAAAATAATTTATGACAAGAAATCTCAAATAGCAACCTAATTTACTAAACATTGACGAAAATTTCCGTCAATATATATTAAATTAAATATTAAGTGGGGGGGGGGGTCTTATTGTTACATTTATAAACCAGAAATCACTTGACCATGATGGATGTAACAAAACAGTAAAAGAATTAAATAATAAAAGAAAATTTTAAAAAAATTAAAAAAAAAAAAATTTTTTAAGTATCCCCACTTAAATTTACTGAAGCAGTTGCTTCGGACCCCCCCCCGTTGTCGGGGCCACTGCTAAGGGTTTTCTACGACAGTTGGCCCTTGCCGAGATATCGATTCTATTGTTTCTTTATCCTCACTTGATCTTTGTCTTAAGGTCTAAGGTAATCGCATCTAATCTAAAATAATCTATTGAATTACCTAAATTCTTTCTTAATTCCTAAAATATTTTCTTACTTTTCTCTTAATTACATCTTAAATTTATAATACATAGTCCAAATATACGAAATAAATTATATAATTATGTCAAATTCTACCACCTCTTTACCCTCAGCCTATACCCATATCTTTATTGAACCACCTGCCACATCATCTTTTGTCAACCATGTTTGAAGCTGAATTAAATCTATAAATCTCTTAATTCTAAATTACCAAAATATATATATCCTTTTATTTTTAAAAAAAAAACTATTTCGCCTGCACTTTTGGATGCTTCTATTTAATTTCTTCTATTTTACACAACTCACATCCGAAAAATCAATGAAGTCTAGTCATAATATTCGCACCCACGTTGTCAACCACTGAACTCTAATTATTATGATTTTCACAACCATGTCTTTGAACAACATATGAAATCTAATCATTATAATTTTTCGCACATTTTTTGTTGAAAAACAACTGATATATATATTTCTAACGCATGTTTTTCTTTTTGCTATTATTAGAATAATGTTGCATAATTGATCTCTATCTTATTAATGATTCAAAATAAATTCCGATCTCTAATTGAACTCTTTGTGGCATAAAATTTCTAATGATGAAAGCCATTTCTCTTTAAAGATCTTGGTTAATCAACACCTAATATTTTACTAAATACAGATCCTTAAATAAAAGTTAAACGTAAATCTTTAATAAGAATTTAATTACAACATCAACATATTATCTAACAATAAATATATATTGGTCTTAGGGTGCATTCACAGTAGAGAGCGACAGCGACACGGCAAACACGACACGACATTAAGCGACAGAGCAGCTGATGTGTCGTAAGCGACATAGCATTCATAGTAGTAGGCGGCAAACATATTTTTATTTTTTTTAAAAAATGGTGTAAATTACAACTTTAAAATTAATCCTCTTATATCGAGCAATGAAAAGACGCAGAAAAAATAACCTAAATGTTAGAAAAGAAGAGGAGGGTGAGTTCGTTATACTTTTCCCCAAACTTTTAAACAATCCTGAAAAGTTTTATAACTATATGAGATTAACTAAAGTATATATTTCATTGTTTAATCTAAATTTAAATTTTGTATTTAGAAAACCTTTTATTATATTTTAAGCCATATTAAATCAAGAATAGTGGTAAAAAAACCAATTTTATTAAAAATCCTACATCAGTAAAGGAAAAATTGATGATAACACTAAGGTTTATATTATTTATTTTATTTTATATAATCAAAATTGCTAGATATTTGGGAACAGGGTGTAGCTATCCTAGCCTAGCATATTCTTATAAAATGGAAATATCAACAATTCAACTAATAATTATCACAACATGTAATGCCATATTTGAAGTACTTGAAAATATTCATTTAAAACCACCAAATTTAAATGATTTGAAAATAATCGCTGATCAATTTGAGAAGTCTTGGAACTTCCCAAATTGTGTTGGAGCCATTGATGGCAAGCACATTGAATTTAGAAATCCTGCTAAATCTGGGAGCTTATATTATAATTATAAACAATATTTTTCCATAATCCTACAAGCTTTAGTTGATGGTAGAGGTAGATTCATGGTAATAGCTGTAGGCAGTTATGGCAGTGAATCAGATGGAGGTGTGTACTCCAATTCTTTATTATCAAAAATGATTGAGAATGGAGACATAGATATTCCACCTCCTAAAAAATTACCAAATTCAAATATTATTCTGCCACATGTTTTTGTTGCAGATGATGCCTACCCTCTAAAATATTATATTATGAAACCTTATAAAGGTAAATTATCACACATTCAAGAAAATTTTAACTATCGTCTTTCAAGGGCAAGAAGAATGGTGGAATGTACCTTCGGGATATTAGTATCTAAATGGCGAATTCTGAATCGAGCCTTGGATACGAATATTACCAACAGTGAATTAATTATCAAAACTTGTGCACTATTACACAATTTGGTGATTGAGAAAGACGTAGATCTCCGCCCCAAGAATACTCAAGATCCTAAACAAAATAATTATTTATGGAATCATCAATCTATAAAAAAAAACCCCTCAAAGGTTTCTAAAGATATCAGAGATGCCTTTTCTGAATATTTTTATAGTAACAAATTATCATGGCAATTATAACTCTATTATCAAATATATCTAAAAAAACTATTTTTATGATTTGTAATTATTTATTTAATAAAAAGAAAATATCTTGTGAAATTAAATTTTATTAATATAATAAATATGCAGCAAAACATTGATCCAAGAATTTATGATAATTATTAAAAAGAAAGTATATTGTGAGATTAAATTTTATTAATATAATAAATATGCAGCAAAACATTGATCCAAGAGTTTATGATAATTATTAAAAAGAAAGTATATTGTGAGATTAAATTTTTTTAATATAATAAATAAGCAATATTATTCTACATCACTATCAAAATTTAACAAAATATCACAAATAATTTTTATTAATTTTTTCTTTCCACTATCTGATCTTTTTGCCAGGGTCTGCTCAAGCATCACATTGATCCAAGAATTTGTTGATTTTCTGCTTTCTTTTATTCTTTCAATTTCAAGAACTTGCTCAAATAAATCTAGTTTAAAATAATAATATATTTACAAATGCAAATTACCTTGATCAATATCTCTCTTTTTAATTAACTTTTTGCCAGGTACATAAGATTCACTAGTTGATGGTGATGCTAAATATATAATATTATTATTTATATAAAATATAATCACCAACATTCCTAACATCTGTAGATTGACTCTGAATAGTCTCTACACATTCAATTTCAACAGCTATATAATAATAAAAATTTTAACAAAAATTAGTATATTTACCATCTTCATATTGGAAATTTCCACTCATCTGTTCAAACATTGCTCTAGCAATGCTTGCTTCACCAATATTAGGTATAAGAGGTTTTATTTTTTTCAGGTTGGTGTATTGTTTCCCAGATTCTATAGTGGGAATCAAAAAAGTTAAATTATTATAAAATTTCCAGGTGGGACTGTGATCAGCCCCTGACCCACTTTTTAAACATTTCAACTTTTTATGTTCCCTCAAAAAAGAATCTCTTAGATTCTTCCATGTAGATTTAGCTATCTCTACCGTAAAAGAAAAATATTTTAAATTAATATAATCTTTAATTACCTGTCTCAATACTATTTTCTGCTGCTATGGATTTCCATATGGAATTATTTTTCTGGGTATTTTTATACCCAATTGATCTTTTGTCATAAAGACAAGGGTAAAATCTAACAGAGTTGATCAACTCTTCTTTATTTATATCCTAAAAAATATATATATGATATTTTTATAATCAAGAATTTACTTGCAAATTTTGTATTTCGGCCATATTATAGTTTGTCGCTTTGAAAATAACAAAATGTTTTGTAATGTGATTTTTATGTTTAAGGGTGCATTCACAGTGGAGAGCGACAGCGACACGACAAAATACAAATATGTGTAAATACCAATGACTATTCATAGTGAGATTTTGCGACGCGACTATCCCGCCAAATTTGTCGCATTAAACATAAAAATCACATTACAAAACATTTTGTTATTTTCAAAGCGACAAACTATAATATGGCCGAAATACAAAATTTGCAAGTAAATTTTTGATTATAAAAATATCATATATATATTTTTTAGGATATAAATAAAGAAGAGTTGATCAACTCTGTTAGATTTTACCCTTGTCTTTATGACAAAAGATCAATTGGGTATAAAAATACCCAGAAAAATAATTCCATATGGAAATCCATAGCAGCAGAAAATAGTATTGAGACAGGTAATTAAAGATTATAATAATTTAAAATATTTTTCTTTTACAGTAGAGATAGCTAAATCTACATGGAAGAATCTAAGAGATTCTTTTTTGAGGGAACATAAAAAGTTGAAATGTTCAAAAATTGGGTCAGGGGCTGATCACAGTCCCACCTGGAAATTTTATAATAATTTAACTTTTTTGATTCCCACTATAGAATCTGGGAAACAATACACCAACCTGAAAAAAATAAAACCTCTTATACCTAATATTGGTGAAGCAAACATTGCTACAGATGAGTGGAAATTTCCAATATGAAGATGGTAAATATACTAATTTTTGTTAAAATTTTTATTATTATATAGCTGTTGAAATTGAATGTGTAGAGACTAGTCAGAGTCAGTCTACAGATGTTAGGAATGATGGTGATTATATTTTATATAAATAATAATATTATATATTTAGCATCACCACCAACTAGTGAATCTTATGTACCTGGCAAAAAGTTAATTAAAAAGAGAGATATTGATCAAGGTAATTTGCATTTGTAAATATATTATTATTTTAAACTAGATTTATTTGAGCAAGTTCTTGAAATTGAAAGAATAAAAGAAAGCAGAAAATCAACAAATTCTTGGATCAATGTGATGTTTGAGCAGACCCTGGCAAAAAGATCAGATAGTGGAAAGAAAAAATTAATAAAAATTATTTGTGATATTTTGTTAAATTTTGATAGTGATGTAGAATAATATTGCTTATTTATTATATTAAAAAAATTTAATCTCACAATATACTTTCTTTTTAATAATTATCATAAACTCTTGGATCAATGTTTTGCTGCATATTTATTATATTAATAAAATTTAATCTCACAATATACTTTCTTTTTAATAATTATCATAAATTCTTGGATCAATGTTTTGCTGCATATTTATTATATTAATAAAATTTAATTTCACAAGATATTTTCTTTTTATTAAATAAATAATTACAAATCATAAAAATAGTTTTTTTAGATATATTTGATAATAGAGTTATAATTGCCATGATAATTTGTTACTATAAAAATATTCAGAAAAGGCATCTCTGATATCTTTAGAAACCTTTGAGGGTTTTTTTTATAGATTGATGATTCCATAAATAATTATTTTGTTTAGGATCTTGAGTATTCTTGGGGCGGAGATCTACGTTTTCTTTCTCAATCACCAAATTGTGTAATAGTGCACAAGTTTTGATAATTAATTCACTGTTGGTAATATTCGTATCCAAGGCTCGATTCAGAATTCGCCATTTAGATACTAATATCCCGAAGGTACATTCCACCATTCTTCTTGCCCTTGAAAGACGATAGTTAAAATTTTCTTGAATGTGTGATAATTTACCTTTATAAGGTTTCATAATATAATATTTTAGAGGGTAGGCATCATCTGCAACAAAAACATGTGGCAGAATAATATTTGAATTTGGTAATTTTTTAGGAGGTGGAATATCTATGTCTCCATTCTCAATCATTTTTGATAATAAAGAATTGGAGTACACACCTCCATCTGATTCACTGCCATAACTGCCTACAGCTATTACCATGAATCTACCTCTACCATCAACTAAAGCTTGTAGGATTATGGAAAAATATTGTTTATAATTATAATATAAGCTCCCAGATTTAGCAGGATTTCTAATTTCAATGTGCTTGCCATCAATGGCTCCAACACAATTTGGGAAGTTCCAAGACTTCTCAAATTGATCAGCGATTATTTTCAAATCATTTAAATTTGGTGGTTTTAAATGAATATTTTCAAGTACTTCAAATATGGCAGTACATGTTGTGATAATTATTAGTTGAATTGTTGATATTTCCATTATAAGAATATGCTAGGCTAGGATAGCTACACCCTGTTCCCAAATATCTAGCAATTTTGATTATATAAAATAAAATAAATAATATAAACCTTAGTGTTATCATCAATTTTTCCTCTACTGATGTAGGATTTTTAATAAAATTGGTTTTTTTACCACTATTCTTGATTTAATATGGCTTAAAATATAATAAAAGGTTTTCTAAATACAAAATTTAAATTTAGATTAAACAATGAAATATATACTTTAATTAATCTCATATAGTTATAAAACTTTTCAGGATTGTTTAAAAGTTTGGGGAAAAGTATGGCGAACTCACCCTCCTCTTCTTTTCTAACATTTAGGTTATTTTTTCTGCGTCTTTTCATTGCTCGATATAAAAGGATTAATTTTAAAGTTGTAATTGACACCATTTTTTAAAAAAAATAAAAATATGTTTGCCGCCTACTACTATGAATGCTGTGTCGCTTACGACACATCAGCTGCTCTGTCGCTTAATGTCGTGTCGTGTTTGTCGTGTCGCTGTCGCTCTCTACTGTGAATGCACCCTTAGTCTCTAATCTTATTCTCTGAATTTTTTAAATTATCGTATCTTTAGGCAAACTATTTGTATTCGAGTCTATAATTTTAATCTTCGCATATTTTCAATTATAATATATTTTTACCTGGGATGTGAACCCTTCGACAAAAAAAAGGGTCCCGGTTCGGGTAGGTTCAGGGAACATAAAAATAATGACTCAAAATAATATTTTTTTAAAATTCATTTATTATTATACTTCAATATATACATATTCATAATTTACAAATGAAAAATTTAAAAATAAAATATGTATTTTAAATAATTTATTCTCGCACAATCATAATATCTTCTAAAATATCACTTGAGATTTCCACGTAAAGTAGACAATATATTTCAAAGATGAAAATTCACGTTCTACCCTTACCTAAAATAGATACTTATCTTTATAAAATTATTGTACTTTTATCGCCGGTACAGCCATGAAGATTCTAGATAAGATATATAATTCTGAATATATTGAAGAATTTTCTTCCCAGAATTTTAAAATATTTATATCCTTATTTATTCTCTTAACTTCTGAGAACTTTACTATTAAAGATGCAATAGGCATTTTTTGATCCTCTTTTCTATAATGATAATTTGATTTTTTTTTCCCTATCTAAAAGTAAAATTTCAAGATCATCAATGTTGCTATCATTATTATTATTATCACTACAACCAATAGGTATTGTGGTAGCCTCCAATATATTGTAAATAATGGAGTTTGGCTTATGCCATAAATCCTTAAGATGGTCTTTAGCCATAAGTCTTTGCTCAATACTCAATAAAACTTGATATCGAGGGTCTAAATATCTAGAAGCATATACAACACTATTTTGCAAATATTGGTGCTCTCGAATTTTCATGTTTTCTACCATTTCGTATAAAAAGGACTAAATTTTTCTAAATCTAATCGGCATCTAATCCATATGCCTTATAATCAAATAAACATAATTGTTCTGATTGTAATCTTAATATTGTTATTTTTAAATGAACTATTACACTAGTAAGGTCATTTATTTGGCACCAATCATATTCCGACAAAACGACTTCACATGCTCCTATAATAAAATCATTACAGAAATCTTTCAAACTTAATAATCGTTCTAGCATCATACAAATTGAGGACCAACGTGTTGTGCATTATCATTTAAATTAAAATATTATTACCTGTACTAAAAAATAATTCTTTTCAAAATAATCAATTTATTTCTATGACATAGCATATTAATAAATTTACATAATAAAATATTATTACACTGGAAAATAATTTATGATATCAATCTATAGATAAAATGAAAGTCCAGGAAGAAAATTGGAAGAAAAACGCGAAGATAAAATAAATGATTCCACAAAAAAAGTTAATAAAATTTAAAAAAATTTATATTATTTTTAAAAAAATATTTTTATTTTTTAAATTTTTTATGACATCTAGAACCCTTGGACCCTCCATTTAAAAAGGGTCCGGAGCCAAAATTCGAAGGGTTCGGGTTCACATCCCTGATTTTTACAAATAAATTTATTTAATCTCCACATTTTATGTTCCTTTTTCTTTATCATAATTATCTCCAGTGATCAATTATTTATTAACTTTTAAAATCTAAATTATCGTCTCAGTTAGATTCAATTGGTTTCTAGTTTACCTGTAACTTCTAAATATAAAATTCATAAATTATTACCTTTAAATAACTATAACATAAACTTATTTATCTTACCTACTATGAATGCTACCTTTATACTTCTTTGTTTTCATTTTAGCTAATCATATTGGTACACCATTTTGAACTTAACCTTATTTACAACAATCCGAAATCTAAATGAGCTATAGTAAAATAATTTTTTTCCTTTTCTAAAATTTGAGTTAAATAACTCTAAATATTTTTCTTATCCAAAGTAAATTTAATTTTAAACCATATATTTTTTTCTTCTTTTAAATGAAATCCTAAATTTATAATACTTAGGCAAATTTACTCAACTATAATTATGTCACATGCCGCCGTCCCTTTACACTCAATATAACTTAGACCCCTACCTTCATTGAACCATTTGCCTGTAATCGTTTTTTAGCTATTAATCTTCATCTTTTATCAACCATGTCAAATGCTAAATTTATACTTTATACTGCCATTGTGCAAATTTTATCATACTTTATGTACTGGACGCGTAAGTTTTTCCAAGAAAATCCAAATTCTTATTGATTTTTTAATACTTTCTAAGTTTTAGTTTTTCGAAATCTCTTAGATTTTTTTTAAAAAAATCAGTAAACTCAGTATTTTTAATCCATGAAATAAATTTTAACCGCTCTAGCATTTAATCCTAAGGAAATAATATAAGTCGTTATTCAGCATATAAGCATATGAATTAAGAATTGAATGTAATATATAAAATTTACTTTTTATTGCAAAAAGCCCATATTAATTTGTAAAATATGAGGGAGGGGGGAGGGATAAATTTATTGATTAAAAACTGGAGCCAAAATGCCCCTTGCACACTTAACACCATGAGTAAAAGAGAACTGGAAGAAATTGCCAAGTTATTTTTTCTATCACATCAATAAAGATAGCATTTAGGCCTCGATAAAATATTCACTGTAAGGGGTTGGTGATAAAAGCTTCGTTAAAAAATATTCGCCATTTAAGTTTTGCGATAAAAGCTTTACAATGTATTTGCTCAAAGTCTTCGCGGTTCAAGTTTGGCGATCGATATTTTCGCTATAAATGTTTAGCAGAATTGATCTAGCGATATCACCTTCGCAATAAATAACATTCACGATAATTTTCAATGAATGTATGATACTCAACAAATAAAAGGGAAAAAAGAATATCTGTTTAAAAAAAATGGTATCAATGCATCTGATAAAAATTAAAACGAAAGATAAAATAATATAACATGAAATTATATAATTCCGTCAAGCATCGGAAGATTAAAAATAAATCATCTCACCTTGATAAATTAGTTATTTTGTCCAAATTTCCCAAATTTAAATAGATGTTTTTATATTAATGGTAAACAATTTTTTTTGAATATAATGCATACTTTTGTAAAGCTTAATCAAAAATCCCAAAGAAAGAGCTGATCTCAAGGCCTTGATGGTAAGTTTGATCTCTTTATATAAATAATTTGTATAAACTTTGCAAAGCTCAATGACGATCTTCATATTTTAAATCAATATCGAAGTTTGGTTTGTATGTTTTGTGTATAGCCTTAAGAGTTTTTTTTGCATTTAAAAAGGAACACTAGGCTACGTGACTAATTAAGAACTGTTATCACATTTAAACAGATATAGGATTAGAGCAATGGATTTTTCTAAATCTAGGATTAAAAAACAATTATTACAAAATTTTTTTAATATTCAAAAAAAAAATATATATAATATTTTTATAAATTTTTACCAGGAGCATCCTTTTGTCCAAAAGAACTTAGACGCCGACGTGGACATAGGTCAATGGGTAACATCTTTCGCCAACATAAATTCGAATGTCGTTAATATCACTTGAATAAATATATTTAACCCTCCCAACTAAAACACATGGTTCTTTTTCAGAAACTAACCTTTCATCTTTTTCGTTGTTAAAAAAAGGAACTAACAAATTGGGGATTCTAAATCAAAGTTTCGATTTGGATAAAAATATTTTGTTTTGGCGCGAAATTGTTACTCGCTTAATAACAAGCGATACCTTAATGGGTTGATTTTGTATATTACCTTAAATCGGTGGAGTACCATTCAGACTTGGAACACAATAAAATGCATTTTTAATTTATAAAATAAAATCTACAATCGTTGAATATACGACCTAGATAACTGGGTGAAATTATTGTTGTTTTTTTGACACATAAATATATTTATTTATTTTTGTTATTTAAATTAAGAATACATTACCACTATATTTTTTATAGTGATCATTTTTTTCATAAGTCGTGATTGACATGCCGATCGCCAATATATATTTTTTTATCATTACATTTTATGTCGTCCAAAAATTATTTATTGCTAAACCAACGAGAATTTGAAAAGTTAAATTATGAATTTTAAATTGTTGAAATTTATCTCTGAGGCAATTAATTCTATTAATGTTTTTTTTTAAATGTGCCAACCAAAATCATTTTTCGATCTTTTTTTTACAAAATCATTTAAGTTATTATTTTATAATACGTTTCTGTTTTTACGTCATGGAATCCCTAAAATATTTTTTGTTTAAAATTTAATAATAATTTATGTATTATTATACACAATATATAATGTATCATGATAGATTAAACTTTATATTCCATTTTTAAATATACGTAATTATTTAAAATTTAGTTAAGTTATATTTTTACTTTATATACGCGCTATCGATTGAAAAATTATTGAATTGTGATTTTCTGCAAATTTCCGACGTCTATAAATTTTACAACAATAAATTTGTTAATTTATTACGTTTTATTCTTTTTTTATATAGATTATTAACACAAACCATATGTCGCAAGACTTGTATCGTTTATTATTATTGAATACTTAAATTATTGAATTTATATAATGGTTAGAATGATATTATATATACCTATATTGTGTAGTCTAATTCGATATCATTTTATCTTAAAAAAATATATATATATTAATGGGTGTTTAATCGGTCTGTTTGTTTATACAAAATTTTATTTGCCAAGAAGTAAATAAAGAATCATTGTTCATTATTAATATAAATTTGCGAAACTTATTCTACAGTAAGTATACATCTCCACCATTATAGACTTGTTTAGAGCCGGAAGGCATTTTAAAATTGTTTAGACGGGACCTACATTTTATTATTACATGATTTTTATAAATTATTCTATATAATAATATAAGTTAAATAAGAAAATAAATGAGCAACAGGTTTATTGTTTTATTTCAAATGGGAATTCCTATCTTTAAATGTAAATTAGAAAAGTGAATCAGGTTTTGATTGATTTACATTATTTTATAACTCATTATTAAAGGATTCAATTGGCCTTAAAATAATAAATGAAGAATCAACAGATTAGCAATAATATCCATTAGCAAGGCAAATTATAGAGATAATATCGTTGTTAGATAAACTATCCTACCACAAAGAGGATCAGTTAATCATTTTGAAAATTTAAATCGAGAATTTCCTTGGGATAACTTAAAATATTGTCAAAACAATCGGAGAAGGCTTTTTACCTGAGAAAAGGAAAACCGAAACTTTTCGATAAAATCCGAGAGAAGAGGTTCTCTAATAATTTTATTGTTAAAAGGCAACCATTAATAAAGTTTTAATGCTCTTCTAAATAAAATTTTAAGATAATGTATGATATATTTACTTCAAAAAAGAAACGCGTTACTTGTTACGTCTGAAAGAAAGAACTCGTTAACGTTGCTCATTGCAATGTGAAAATGAATGCGCGTTACTGGCTATTCAAAAAAGTAACAGATTATTTGTTACTTAAAAAACAAAATATTATATACAAAGAAAATATTTTTTCCTATATATATAATACATATAAAATTATGCAAAAAATAATATATGATATCTATTTATAATAATTTTTTTAATATATAATTTATAAATAAAATAATATATTAAAAGATAAGATATTTTGTAAAAATTTTATTTATTTTTAACTGCAATTGATTTTTACAATTTTGTTTAGATAAACAAGAGTGCTTAGTTTTAAACACACGTTCAACTGGCGCAAAGGATGGAAGAATTGTATTATATTAAATAAATAAAAACTGGAAAAAGCTAAGTTCATCGTCAAAAGAATCTTCATTATTTTAAAATCTTTATTTGAAAATAATCAATACGTGTGTTTTTTTAAAGGAATCAAGTCTTCCTTTTTTTGTCAAGATCTTTTATCAAACTGGAAAAAGCTAAGTTCATCGTCAAAAGAATCTTCATTATTTTAAAATCTTTATTTGAAAATAATCAATACGTGTTTTTTTTTAAGGAATCAAGTCTTCCTTTTTTTGTCAAGATCTTTTATCAAACAGGAAATAAGTTTAGACTTCCTTTGCTGATATCGAGTTTTACGAGGGCCAATCTGATTTAAATATGCTGATAATATATATTCAATTCAAATAAAATATTATCAAAATATAAATTGTGAACAATACTTAATATACCTTTATCTTTGTCTTGCAGAATCATTAATAAGTCGCTTACAAAATGAAATTATTTAAATCCATTTTTTAAATATTATAATAGTTATCGAGGGAGTGTGATTTCCCGAACGCATTTTTTTCTTCTCTCTCTAAAATCGAAAGAGTCGTAGTAAGGAACAGGTTCCATAACCTAAAATCATTACCATACAATATTTATCTAATCAATATCTTGATATCTGTAATATGGATTCATCACAAGATTCGTCAAATTTGTGGCCATTCTCTTTAATAAGACTATTAATTTCAAGGATAGACAGTTTAATCAGATATTCCATTTTTTCCTTAAAAATGCACAGTTTGGAGGATGCCCATGTTTAATCCACAATTGAGGTAAAATATTGAGTTGACACAATTTACACTTATAAACTGTTTCATTGGTGTAAAAAATGTTTCATATTAGAGTCAATGCAGGCTTTACTCATCTTCATTTGAGGAAAATGTACAATTTGTATAATCTCTATAAAATAAAATAGTATTAATAAGAATATAAATTTACATACATTGATTGATTCTATATTAATTAAATCAACAACAAAAATTTAAAATAAAAATGAAGAAATTTGTTGATTGATGTATTCGTTTTAAATTATTTATAAAATCTAAAAAAATAAATAAAAGTAATTTTATAATACAATAAAATTAGTTATTCCTATTTTAAAGAAATGTTTGAAGCAGTGTCTATTTGACCGGTCAAATATGATTCGGTCAATTGGTCAATATTTGAACGGTCAATTATGGTCAAATTCAAATAAATGTTTTTTAAGATAATATTAATTTTATATATAATAGTAAAAAATATGTAATATTGAATTATATTTAAATTCTATATTAATCTTTCGCTCTCTATGGCAGAGTCTTGCTCTGATTTATATTCAATATTATAATTTTCTTTAATATTTTAATCAATCTTGGTTATGATATACTATTACCAATTTTCCTTTTGTCGAGATATTCAATAGATTTCTTTTTTTCGTGTGAATATTACCCCAAACCGATTAATTTCCTTCTGAGAAAGAAGTAAACTAGGAATTGTTAGTAAGATATTAGAAACTTTTCTTAATTCTCAAGGTGGGAAAAGCCCATTCTAACAACTTAGGCCAAAATCGGATTGTTTTTTCCACATATTTTGGTTATTAAATATACCGCCGCTTTTACTTCTGATTTATGATATCACTTAAAATATTTTGATTAACATTACCTTGTAAAATTCCTATTTCTGTATTTTATCACATGCTTCATAAACTCACTGATAATAAGATGTCCCCCCACCCTTATATTGGGGATTTATTATGATCAGCATTGTGAGCACATTTGATTTTTTTTATTTAGGTGGAAAGATTATAAAATTTTTCCAAATGAAGTATCTCGTTTTTTATTTCGGCCAAAATACATTTATACCTTTGGATTTACAATAAGATAGCTAAATATTAAAGATAAGTTAAATTTTAAATTTTTCGTCCAAAATATTTCTTCATTTAATATATTGTTAATTTCTTTCGGACAAATATTCAACTGATTTAAAATTTGCTTTCAAATCTTTGTATATTTGTATTTGCTCCTTACATTTTATTAACGATTCCCATATTGTTTGAGTAATTGTACATAATGTAATATAATTGGCAATTAGTAATTTTCTCAAACCTTGCTTTAACAAATGGATTAAATTTATTTATATATTAAGATTTAATCAATTAATAATGAGGAAAATTCTTTTATTTTTATATTTTAAAATGAAATTTGAATATTTTAACATGAAAATCTTATATTTTAATCTAAAATTATAATTAAATCGATGCCTCGATGATACAAATATATTTTTAAATTGATAATGCTTTAAATAAATATTAGTTAAATCAATATATTTATGTGATACGTGATATTAAGCGCACTAGTCCTAAACGCCATATATATATACACCAGATATATATATATACAACAAAGCAACGCTTGGTTCTCTCATGAAAAGCCCATCAAACTGGGATAAAAGATGGGAAATAATTAAGAGGATCATCCACGTTTTTGTACAGGTGTACCTGTGCGCGCAAGAGGCAAACCCCCCTACTTAAACGCCCATGGGAGAGGTCAAAAGCCCATGCCCGATTAAATAAAAAATTTGATAATGGGAGGTTTATATTGGCTATATTAATTTTACTATTAATTAGTATTTGAGAAAACCGAGAAATAAACATGATTAAATAAAATAAATACCAGTACAAATACAGTACTATTAATTATTCTTTCAAAAATATTTGAACCGCACCATCATTATCATCACTAAAAATTAGTAATTACCTTGTCGGAAATTTAAAAATAAATCGATATATTTATTCACCAATATTACTTTTGAGTATTTGACCAGGTCAAATATTTCTTTGGTCAATTGGATGAATCTGACCAGATAATTGTAGGTAACGAAGGCATTCCTTTTCTTCAAAAAAGGTAATGCCGTTAGTAACGATGTTACTTTACAGCACTATGACATACATTACTAATGCAGTACAAAGCAGTTTTAGGAAAAGAATTAGCTATAACATGCTGTACGAGAGGGAATAGCATGTTCGATAGCCTTATTAGTTTATTAAAATTTAAAACGAAGTACCAAAATTATGTGAATTAGAATTTCCGATACTGAAATACAATATTTGGAAGAATATTTCCACACAATGATCCCATTTGCTTTAGCGATTAACAAAATACATGGCGAAATTTACTATTATGGAAAATCTGCTCCAATGTTAAATGTTGTCAAAAAATATTAATCCCACTGTCAGAAACTATCCTTAAAGTCGATATTTCATATGAGAGGTGCCAGCCATCTTCATATATACTAGTGCCATCAGAAAATAAAGCGTGGATAATTGGTAAAAATGTTGATATAATATATCTTTTAACTTAAAAGCGCTTATTATGTCGCTTATAAAGGCCAGGCTTCCTTCTGAACTAATAAAATAATCATATCATTACCCTTGACATTTAACAGTTTGTTTTAAACAATTAGTATAAGGAATGCGATTTTTATTTCTGATTACACGAACAGTGCTTTTAAAAAAACTCCCAGGCTAAAAATAATTTTACAATAAAAATGGGGTAAAATATTTCAAATCTATGCTGGGACCAGGTTAAAAATTAGTAACATTTTCAAAATAAGATATTCTTCAATTTAAAATCAGATAATTTTTTATGTACAAATTGCCCAGGGTATTAACATGACCCTCTAGGGTTGGCAAAAATGGTAATTTTTTAAAAAAAAATCGATTATGGCCTAACTAAGATTGTAAAATATCTATTTTTTAAATTTCATTTTGATATTATCTTGCAAGTAAAAAACCTCAAGGGAACAAGTCAGGAAATTGTTGAAAAATTAAATGTTATAATTTGATATTTTTTCAAATAAGGAGCCGATGATGTTATTTTTTAAAAAAAATTTAACTAACAATATCGGTCAGCTGATATTGTTAATAATTTTATTGTAGAATTTTCTGATTTAAATAAAAATGCCAATGAAATTTAATTTTTTCGAACTAAAATTAGCTATTGCAATCTCTCAACCGGTTAAGAATTAGCCTAATTTTAAAATCCTAATTGTTGAAAGAATTTCAAGTTTTTCACCACCTTACATGCTAGTAAAAAAATTCAACTTTCATCCTTTGCTAAACGATACAATTAAGCTTTAACTCCTGCACACTTATTTTACCTTTTAAACCCGAAATAACAATCAAATTTATAAACTAATAAAATGTAAACGGCAATAGAATACGGGGGGCTTCTGTATCTAAACATTGATATTTTATCTATCTTGGTAAAGTTTTAAGCAAGATCAGAGCCTTTACTAAAATTATGGTTTCGGATAATATAGTAAATAAATTAGACTAAATGGTGGGTGGCTCATGGAAATTTGATGAAGGATGTAAATATTCTAAAAATAATAAAACAATTATTTACTGCATCTTCATCATCCGCTTCAGTCGAGAAAGTATTATCATCATTTGGAGTTGTTCACTCGAAACTTAGGAATTGGTTAGGAACAGACAAGGCAGAAAGATTAGTTTTTTTAAATTCTAATACCGTTGTCGACGATTTATTACTTGTGATTTTTATGTTATTTCTTAATTTTACAAACTAAATAATCATTTTTTTATTATAAATAAATAAAAAAATTTTAAATATGTGTGGTTAATAGTTTCGTATATTAAATAATTTTTCACTATTGCGATTAGAATCAACAATTCTTTTTCTACTATGTTAAAAATTGAGATAAAAAATAAACTTCTTTGTCTAACAAGTGGTAATTACTAGTACAATTTGGTTATTTAATTAGATTTGCTTATCTAAGTCCTTACCTTTCACTATCTTATATTTTGATTTAAATCATTGATTTTTTTAAAAAAAATAGGGATGATATAACTTCTTTAATCTCTAAACGGTAAAATTGCAAAATCCAGACAAGGTAGGGCTTGAAAACCAAAAAAATTTACAAACCTGGGCTAGATCAAAAAAATTTTTTAAATCCGACCTGTGGTTAGAGCTTTGATCTCTGCGCTCTTCCGATTTCTGAAAAAATATATTAATCATTTGCAATTTATTAAATCCTTAAAAAGATTCAATATTTCTAATTCATAGAGTCCTTGTTTGCCTGAAGATCAGTTATAAGAATGATTCATGAATCGAATTATCATTGAAATATATATAAGCATCATACAATAATAGGCAAAAATATTTTTTATAAGCTAATCAAAAGTACAAAATATCCATAAATTTTCAATAATTGACATCACTCAATACTATAAAAAATGAAAAAAATATTTTGTTGAGATCACATTGAGCTGGTAATTTTATTAAAACGATACCCACGCTTGGCCATAATCCTCATAATCCTTAGCATATTGAGGCAGTCATCTAAACCACTATGGGGTCGACCCTCAAATCGAAGCCCAAGATTAGAGAGCATGTGGGTAAGACCTCGAACTGGCCATTCTCTGGTCAACGCCCAGAAGGCAACTTTTAAGTCAATCCAACGTTTGAAATAAATGTATTGTGGACCAGTAGCAAATCGAGAGAGATCTTTGGTATATTGTTGATGGTGAAAATAATTATCAGGATGAATATTGGTGGGATGCATGTAAGTCAGTTGACGGGGAAGGAGCTTGCGTAGATCAGCATCACCGCATGTGACAAATGTGAAGTTGGGGAATAACGTTGTGGATGATGTTGGTAGCAACAAACCGTTGTGCTGAAGCCAGACATGAAAATCTTCTAGAATATGTTCTAGAGGAAAAGACTCTTCTATGGTCTCTTGAGTGAGACCTGTCAAGGTTGAGCAGAAGGAAGATATTTGAGGGTGAATGACTGGCCGAACAAATCGATGAAAGCGAGCACGTATCTCTAGTTGGTGGGGTTCTGGTTTGATGGTAACCCAGATGACTGGAAACTCGATAATCTCCTGGGGGTCAGGTGGTTGAGCCCCTTTACCTGAACATGTAGCCTCGAAGTCTAAAAGTAGGAGGTTGTTAAACATAGATAAGGGATCAATGGGTTCATAGGATTGAATAATCATTTGAGATTTCAGGAGTGGGTTAATTGCTTTAGATTGCAGGTGACTAGGTTTTGTAATCTGGTAAAATTTAGTTGTTAAATCTGAGTGGATAAGTTTTAAAAGGGGCTTCATAAATAAAATAGGAATAAGAGATGGGTAAAAAAGGTTTAAGTGAAAAATGATCTGGAATATTTTGAATCCATGTTAAGGTAAGGTTGATATCTAATTTGATTTTGTGAACAAATATATCATATTTTTAAAAGGAAAAAATTTAATTGTATAATTACTATATACATCTAATTCTAAATGTTAATATATTATTTATTGGTCCAGACTGAAAACATGGAACAAATTATAAAGACCAAACCACTAAAGTTTGGTCTAAATTGGGAAAATTGGAGTGTTGACCTTCATTAATTGATAAAATCTCAACTTCAGGTCTGAATATATATCATTTCCTAATTACGGAATTTTTTTTATTTACAAAATAAGATATTGATAATGATATAAACACGTTTGCACGTTATTCCCTTAATTTACTTTCTAACCATTTTAATTTCACTTCCTTTAATTTCTTTTTTTAAATATTTATATATTATATGCAATATAATATTAGATTTTTATAAAATACTAATCATTGCTTTTTTTTTGACTAGAAAAAATTTCATTTTATTTCAATGATTTTAAAATACCAGGGAAGTCACACATTTGACAGAATTGGTGAAATAATTGACAGTTAATAGAACTTTTAAAATATCTGACAAGGTTATTGCAACCGTTACTGATAATGGGAAATTTCATAAAGGCCTTTAAGCTTTTTAGGTATGCTATTAAAAATGTAAAATTTTTAAAATGCAAAATGCATATATCTTAAAAGATATTTATAGTAAAAATGAACATAATATATCAAATTTTAGGTAAAAAAAACCTCAAGAGGCCTATTATAACAATAAAACTTCCGGTTTAACTATATTACTTTACCCATGTTATTAAGCTTGGTTTTAGAAAAAAAATTTTGCCTTTTATTTAGACACCATTTATAAGTATATATATATGATGTGAAAACTTTGTCGAAGTTATAGGCGGTTCTGATGCATTTTCACCAAAAATTGACATATATATTTGCATAAAATAGATGACGCTATATAAAACTATAAATTAATTATGGTTATACTAAATTATCAAAAAAAAGATATTTTTATTTCTTATACTAAAATATTTTGAATTTCTGGGACAACCACGTCAATATATCAAAAAGACCTATTTTAGGCTGACCCTTTTTAAAATTGTTAAAAATTGATGGAATTATTGAGATCGGTAAAAAAATAAAAATGTGCTTATTTTAGCTCGCAAGCACAACTGGTTCCCGAGATACAGAGGTGTATAAGGCATGAATTCTATTTAAATGATTTTAAATAAAGGAGAATATATCGTTCAAGCAAATTTTGCTGAAAATTATTAAGTTACATAATTATATTGGAATCTCTCATTCATAATAGAATTGCCATTCATTTATTCCAAAAATATTTAGTCGCTACTTAACAGAGACATTTAAAGCCGCTTAATAAATTTTTCCCACTTTCCAAATGGAGCAGCATCACAATATAAAAATCGCAAAAATATAATCAATTTTTGCCACCATGATTATGATTTTGGAATAAAAGCTGAGTTGTATTTCTGAGCCACATCTCATGGCAAATCGGTATGAGATAATCGGAGGTACAGTTAATTGTAGTGGCCGGGGCTAGTTTATAAAGACCTGTTTCAGAAGGAATAACTTGTCATAATGAGTTATCTGCCTATTATAAGGAAAATATTAAAGGCATAAGATTTCTAATTTATTAATAAGTTTAATGAGATAAAAGTAAAACTTTATTTTCAAACATAATATCACTGAAATTTATAAAAAAAAATCGATAAGTTACTTAATCTCGGGGAAATTTTTAATATTATTTTTATTAAAAAATGATAAATATGAGATCGCGTGGATATTGGTGGAAATTTTTTGATGAAAAGTTTTAAGAATTGCATATCTTTTTTCATTGAATTTGAGTAATTTTCGATATTTAAAAATTTTTTGTGACCTTAGTTGAAGATTTTTTAATAATTAAATATTAATTTAACGTATAATATTTTTTCAAATTTAATAAATATTTTTTTCCACTTTTTATGGATTACATTAATTTTACCGAGTTTTTTAAAAGATCAGAACTTCTTATTAATCACATATATTATAATAACATGAGAATGAAGAAAATGTAGCATAAGATGTTCAACATGTTCAAGCAGATATTCTATATAGGGTTTAGTATTATATTAATTTTTAAATTTAGTTTTATTAAACTATATTTGAAAATACTAATCATCCTGTGAAAAAATTTATTATCTTTTTGTGTCCAGGACTTTTATAAGTCACAGTCTTCGTTTAATAGGATTAGCACAATACATCTATAAAATTTGCCAATAAGTTATTTTAGGTATGCAATATTTAGAAAAACTAGCTGCCATACACAGACAATATCTTTTGAAAAATAGGGGCCCTGGGCACGTGAATCCCATATTTTTAAAAGGAAAAATAACACATGGAAGATTTTAAATTAAATGCCATTTGGGTGGTGGGATATCAATGGAATATTTTATATAGATAAAACTGAAAAAGAGACCCTTCTGGGTATAATCAGTAAGCACGTACATACTGATTCAACTATAATGACGGACAAATGGAAGGGCTAAATTAAATATTGATAAATCTTAAAATTTAATATTTTTCAAGTTATAACAATCTTAAGAAAATGGATATGATTAGGGATATATCGATATTTTTTATCGGATCGGGTCGATATTTCACCCATTATAAAATATCGGTTATCGACCAATATTATAAAATTTTCCTATCCTATCCGATAAAAAATGCTGTTTTTAACAAAAATAAAATGTTATAAAATTTTTAAAAAAAGTTATATCTAATTTTTATAAATAAAATCGAAATCAATTTTTATGTTTAATTTTTTTAATAGTAATAATAGTTAATAAACATTCTGCCATATAGTGATTTTTTTTCGCATTCTGTTTAAAAAAGTGTTCAATAATCTTCAGAATGTGTTTTTAGTGATGCTAGTGATATTGACAGTAGAGATCTGCAAAGTAGCCGGGCCGGGCCTAATATTTTTTAAAAAATTCGGGCCGGGTAGGGACGGACCTTGGAAATTTTATTAAATATATCTAAATTTATCAATTTTATATTGAATTTTTTATGTAAAATAAAAATTTTTGATTTAATTTATTGAAACTAAACGCTATATAACATATGTCTTTTATTTTAAGTAATTATAAAAATTAATTTCTATATTTAAATAAATTCGGGCCTGGCCGGGTCGATAATTTTTTTTAAAATAAATTTCGGATTCGGGCCGGGCCGGCAAAACTTTTTAAAAAAAATTCGGGTTCGGGCTGGGCCGGCAAAACTTTTTTAAAAAAAATTCGGGCGTGGCCGGGCTTGAAAAATTAGGCCTGATGCAGATCACCAATTGACAGTCCCCATCGCCGCAGACTGATCTCTGATAAATTGGAACTAAAATTTCATAATATATTTGTTTATTACTAATTATGTAAATAGATTAATGTTAATAATTATATAAATAAGTAATTTATATCAATAAAAATATTTTATATACTTTTAGAATTGCAATTGAATTGAATATAAACTATAACTGATCATTATAATATATTAAAATGACATATATTATGGTATAGCAAAATTATAGATGTTATACTAATAAAAAGTATATTAAAAATTAAAACCATTGGCATCTTTACAGAATACAAAATTAGATATGATATCGGATCGGTTATCGGCTGATATCAATTTAATATCTGGAATATCGGATCGGATCGGCCTCCAAAAAGTGGTATCGGTACACTCCTACTTATAATATAAATAAATTAGAAGATGGTTTCAATAAAAAAAAATTTCTAAGAGTAATGAACTAAACCTTTATAATTAGTTGAACCGAACCGAACCTTTATAAATTTCTTCTCAAGAACCGTAACCAAAACGTAACGATTATAATTTTTTACATACTGAACCGTAACCGTCCCTGCTTAAATGTTCACCGAAAATTGTTGCAATAATTCGGATTTTTATAAATATATCAGAGTTGTTAAAGTAGCGCTATCTTTTTTGGTAGCTATATCTAATAGCGGCTACTTTTTTTATATAATTTTTTAGCACGCTACTTTTAAAAAATATAATGAATGTAAGTATAAGCATGAAAATTTAAATATAATACCATAATTAATTATAATTTTAATGATTTATTAAATTTTGAAATTGAAATATATTTTCAATTTGTAATTTATATTTTCAATTTGTATTATAAACCTAACACCTTTTAATAATTTAAAATGGCATCGCATATGGATATCCGAATCGTTGAAAGTGATTCAGAGTCAGACAATGATGTTAATGAAATGGAAAATACCAGGGAAGAAAAATGATATTCATGGCAATACTTTCCCATTTCCTAGATTTCAAAAATTTTTCAAGATAAATATTAAAACAAAAACTGGCTTCAAATTTATATGTTTAAAATGTAAAAAAAATATTTCCTCAAATCAATCAAGTAGCTATAACCTAAAGAACCTAAAGGTAAATTATCATTTTTACATAAAATAATAATATTTATTTTATTAGACTGTTCATGCTAATAGTTTTAAGAATTGAACAACATTTAAATAACTTTGGCATAGGTGAATCTACATCCAAAAAGTCGAATTCAATTCAGACTAAATTAATTAATAATACAAATGCCCATATTTCTCAAAATTAGCTGATAATGTTATTGTAGATTTTATCATTGATACAGTGCAGCCAATGTCCTTGGTTGATAATCCATCATTTACTATGATGATTAAAACTTTATCACCTGGTACAACTTAGGATTTTAAAAAGAAGATCTGTAGCATTAGCCCTCAAAAGGTAATAGGATGCCAGACATACGATGTACTTGCAAATAAAATTATTGATGTCCACAAGTCTTTTAGGATTCATAATAAAGTTTGCAAGATGGTGACCGATAATGCGTTCAATTACCTGAAAATGCTGAAGGTGAGATACAGAATCTTAGTCAGCATGTATTGGAAGAGGAGGAAATGGGTGTTGATGCAATTGATATTAATGAGATCTTAGAAGAAGGTTTAAATTATTTTATAATACATGTTAA